TATATATATATAGTGTGTGTGTGTGTGTGTCGTGTTATTATATATATATATATATATATATATATATATATGTTTGTATGTATCTGTACATATATACATATTTATATATTTATGTAAGTACCTATATAATTGTCGCATCTGAGTAAATACTTCCCTTCTGGTCATCCTCGCACTGCACAGGAAGGGAAAGAAACAGCAAGAGTTCGTGAATACAGTCAACAAAAATGCTCGCCATCAATTGGGCGAGACTGATCAGTCCATAGCAGCCGCGAAGAAGAAAAAGGCGGCGCTGGCTGCTGAGAAGGCCGAAATGGAGCTGCTCTTCAAGGTACGTAGGCTTGTATCCGCACACGGCATGCTTGACAGTGAAACTACGTATATTTCTTTGTACAGTGTTGTCTTTCTACTTTTAAACTGGAATTTCTCCCACGAACAACATAGTATGCGGCACGATATTTAGAACAATTGATTAACAATTAATTTTTCAATTAATGTGGTCCCTGGCATGCGCATGTACGTACAACATTTTATATCTTCATTATTATACGCATGTAAATATACAGGGTGTTGTTACAAAGAAGGACAAGGAGGCTATGCAGGCAGACCCCAAGACAGTTGTGTGCGCCTTCTTTAAACAAGGACTGTGCACCAAAGGCGCCAAATGTAAATTTTCTCACGACATGGCTGTGCAAAGGAAGGTCACCAAACGAGAAGTGTACGAGGTATGTGCAGATGAAACCCTAAAACCCTAAACTTAATCCCTACACAGCTGCTGGTCTTATTGTTTTCTAGGGTTTAGGGTTTTACTTCCACTACGAAGAATTCACCACTTGAAAGTTTACGAGATGCGCGCAGTTTTAGCTGGATGGACACTAAGTGGTGGAGTGCCGACTGTGTCATATCACACAGAAGTCAGTGTGTTCAACAGAGTGACACCCGTGCTATATATTGTAGGTAGTATAGTGATTGGGTAGTCGTGTCACCTGTTCTATGTTTTTAGGTAGTATAGTGATTGGGTAGTCGTGTCACCTGTTGTATGTATTGTAGGTAGTATAGTGATTGGGTAGTCGTGTCACCTGTTCTATGTATTGTAGGTGGTATAGTGATTGGGTAGTCGTGTCACCTGCTCTATGTATTGTAGGTAGTATATTGATTGGGTAGTCGTGTCACCTGTTGTATGTATTGTAGGTAGTATAGTGATTGGGTAGTCGTGTCACCTGTTCTATGTATTGTAGGTAGTGTAGTGATTGGGTAGTCGTGTCACCTGTTCTATGTATTGTAGGTAGTGTAGTGATTGGGTAGTCGTGTCACCTGTTCTAGTATTGTAGGTAGTATAGTGATTGGGTAGTCGTGTCACCTGTTCTATGTATTGTAGGTAGTGTAGTGACTGGGTAGTCATGTCACCTGTTCTATGTATTGTAGGTAGTGTAGTGGTTTGATTTAGTTGGGGTAGCCTTGGTGTATAGGCTAGATGGGTATAGTTAGTGATACCTTTGCTGTGCCTAGAATTGCTATGACCGTTGACGACCCTCTGCGCATTCTCTGATTGGTTTGTGGCAATTGGTTTATTATTGGGTGGCGTGGGCTGTGTTGGTTGTACTTTAAATGAAGTGATTGCTCAGAGTTCCATGTCAGATTCTCCAGTTTAGAGGTTTGGGTCTTGCACCACTGACACTCGAGCGCGTCTATTACTAAAAAATATAGAGCAATTTTTACTATATAAAAAAGAGCAACTATTACTAAACATTCAGAGCAAAGACAAAGAAGAGGGTGACGAGGACTGGAACATGGACTCGCTCAACGAAGCTATCGATAAGAAGTTCGGCAAATCCAACACAAACAACGCCACAGCCATCATCTGCAAATACTTCATTGACGCGCTGGAGAATGACAAGTACGGATGGTTTTGGGACTGTCCCAATGGCACCGATTGCAAGTACCGTCATGCGCTGCCCCCAGGGTTTGTGCTTAAGAAAGACCAGGTCAAAGACACGGAGGAGGATGTCATGACCCTGGAGGACATTGTCGATAGAGAGGTGTGTGTATTATGTGGTGACAGAGAGGTGTGTGTGTTGATGGGCTTTATGGTTTAATGTTGTTGTTGTGTGCGAGTGCTCCTGAGCCTCGATTGTTCGTCATGTGTGTTTGCGATTGGTACATGAGGTGAAGCCGTGATTGTGTCCTTAGGAGTTAGGTAATATGTTGAGGTCATATGCTTACCAGTTGAGTTATATGATAAGTTCAGTGGATTTCTTCTGGCTGGAATTGTGCAAAGGCGAGGCTTAGTATAGAGCATTTGTGTTTGACCTTTGGTGACGTTGAGTGCCCAGCTATGGCTATCTATTTGTGCGCAATCGACGGTATATCAGCTACATAAACGAAACAACCCCGAAACAATACGTGACGAAGGGTACGCTGAAACAATGCAAGAACAATATGTGACCAATAGTACACCAAAACAATCCAAGAACAATATGTGACCAATAATACACCGAAACAATCCAAGAACAATATGTGACCAATAACACACCGAAACAATCCGAGAACAATATGTGACCAATAGTACACCGAAACAATCCAAAAACAGTATGTGACCCATAGTACACCGAAACAATCCAAGAACAATATGTGACCAGTAGTACATTCGTGCCCCTTTGTGAGGGTGACTGATTCTTTGGTGGCTTACCACTGCAGACGCCTGCTCAGCCCATTGTCACGTCAATTGCCTACCACGCATTCTGTGCGCATTCGTACCTTAAGTGTACTGTCGCACGTGTACTGTCGGCCGCGGTCTCTTGTTTGTGGTTGCCTGTTGCTACGTCCTCATGCGCCAGCCCCACCCGTCTGCTGTTCTATCTCTTCGCTTGTATTCATCTGTGTTTACCATTCGTGTCGCAGCGACAAGCGTTGGGGCCCAATAAAACACCCGTCACTTTAGAAACATTCACCAAATGGAAGGCTAAGAAACGGAAAGAGGAGAAGGCCGCGCAATCAAAGAAGGACAAGAAGCGAATGGTATGTCCTTTGTTAAGTGAATGGTATGTCCTTTGTTAAGCGAATGGTATGTCCTTTGTTAAGCGAATGGCATGTCCTTGTTAAGCGAATGGCATGTCGTTTGTTGCCATCCGTCGTGCGTAGTGTGTCATGGGCGTGGCTGCTTCTTTCTTTCGTTCGTTCATGAGAGTGGTTGTTTGTTCGATTCCTTTGTTCATGAGAGTGGTTGTTTGTTTGATTCCGTTGTCCATGGACGTGACTGTTGTCTAATCCCTGTCTTGGTGTGTGTCTTGGTGTGCTCGTGCTGTCCATGTACTTTTTGGATCAGAATGTGTACTCTGTCAGATACCCTGTATCGTTCGCTGCAGTGGTTCTGCTGTAGTGAGTCTGCTGCGGTGGTGCTGCTGCATGAGTTTGCATGGGTTTGTATATTTCCTTCGCCACCATCACTTTGTTCGCCTTGAAGGTTGTTCATATACACCTTATTCTCCCATTTTAAACTACGTGTGTGTTTTTAGGGTTTTTATGATGATGATAGCCTTTGTCTGTGTCAAAGGCTGTGCATATACACCTTATTCTTTTATTTTAAACTACGCGTATATTTGATGCTTTATCTCAACGGTGTTGACAGCATAGCATGTATTTGGGGCATGTGGTCGGTTGGTGAGCTCGCATAATTCATTTTGTATACACATGGGTGTATTCGATTGTCGCCGTGTATAACCGTACCGTGTTATGAGCCTGTCTGTTGAACGTTCAGTGTGTAACCGTGTATTCCCTGTGGACTGCGTTACATCACATTACGCAGAATGAGGTGAAGGCTGGGCGTCAAGCAGGCATCACTGGAAAGGAGCTGCTGTCGTATCGGCCAGAGCTGTTCCAAGACGATGACGAGGCGGGTGGTGCAGAGGACTACGCGCAGGAAGAGGTACGTCCTTGGGTTTTGGGTTCTGCTTGTGGGTGGTCTGTTAGTACCCAGGCTGCCTTTTGTGTAGGTGCACAGGGTAGTGTACTTACATACGGTGTCCACCGTTGACGTCTGTCATATAA